GGCTCTTCAATACTTTTACTGGCACGAAGATTATATTTGTTTTTAGGTTTCAAATTATAAAGATTTATAAATACATTAGGTGATATATTTTCTTTAACTAAATTAAACATAAAACATAAAATATTTAAAACATTTAGTTCGTAAATATTCAAAACTTTCATTTCTTTAAGAAGTGGTGTTGAGCTTGAAAACCGATTTGCAAAATTAATTGTGCGAGCTGCGTGTTTCTGATGTCGATAGAGAGATTTAAGTTTGGTTTTCTAAGTTCTTCCCCATATTATATTTGCATAATTTAAATGGCAATGAATAAATGAATAATATAGTTGTGTTAATTGATGTTTATTTAATATATGTCTAACTTTATATAGAACTTCAATGCTTTTAGCAATTTTCATTGAAATATTATCAATTTGTTGCCTCCAAGATAAGTTTTCATCTATTATAACTCCTAAGAATTTTGTATTTTTCTCTCTTTTTATTACTGTACTGTCAATATATAAGTCAGGCAAGATATTTTGAATTTTCTTTTTTTTAGAAGTTGGATGAAAAAGTATCCATTTTGTTTTATCGGTATTTAAAGACAACCTATTTTTTTTGAACCAATATGAAATATTTTTAAGTTCCTCAGTCATATTGTTAAAGAGTATTTTAATATCTTCGTTGGACTGAAACAAACTCGTATCGTCAGCAAAAATTATAGTCGCTAAATTAGAAGCTTTGTAAAGATCAATTATGTATATTAAAAATAAGAGTAGCCCAAGTATGGATCCTTGAGGAACACCACATGTTACATTCGTTAAAAATTGACGCGAAGATTCTTTGTTATAAACAAATTGTTTACGGTTACTTAGATAACTTTTAAACCAGTTTAGAGTTACATCTCTTAAACCATAGTTTTCTAACTTTTTCAATAAAATATGGTGATTAAAAGTGTTAAAAACTTTTGACAAATCAATAAATATGCCAAGAGTAAATTGAGAATTCTTAAAAGAGTCGGCAATACTGCGCGTTACTTGGAGAATAGCGGGTTCAGTAGAACTTTTTCTTTGAAAACCAAACTGATTTTTATAAAGATGTTTATTGTCAATAAGATAAGTGTACAATCTGTTGTACATTATTTTTTCTAATATTTTTGAAAAGACTGGTAGAACTGAGATAGGACGATAATTTGTTACGTTTGTTAAGTCACCTGTTTTAAAGATGGAGTTATTTTTGCTATTTTCAAGCTGGAAAAGATCCTTGAGTAATAGATGCTTTAAAATTTTTAAAGAGGATATATTTAATCGCATCAAAATAGTCGATTATAATGTTCCCATTTATGTCATCAGGCCCAGTTGTTTTATTTCTTTTTATTGCTTTATATGCTATTTTAAATTCACTAACTGTTAGATTTGAAAAGTTCAGAGTTGAATTTGTTAATAAAATAAATTCATCAACGGATTTATTGTCTACATAAGGAATTTTATTTGATAGACTTTGTCCTATTGTTGAAAAAAACTTGTTAAATTCGGTGGCAATTTCCTTCGAATCGTTAACTATTTTATTTTTAATTTTTATTACAGCCGGCATACATTTTGTGCATGTCTTATGTTTACCAGTAATATCCTTCATTATTTGCCAAACTCGCTTTGAATTACATTTGTGCTTCATAAGCAAGTCCGAATAGTAAATTTTTTTGGCTTTTTTGCGGAGTTTTTCAAATAAATTTTTATAGACTGTGTAAGTGATTATATGCTTTTCTGATTTAGTTTTTAGATACTTAACATAAAGTTTTTGCTTTATTTTTGAGGACTTTTTAATTCCTTTAGTTATCCAAGGACAAGATAGGTCTTTGGCGTTAAGAAGTTTCACGCAATGGAAAGTTTGCGTTGTAGGTTTTATAAAAAATTTTAAAAAAAGAGTTATAGATGAGGTTTATATCGTCATTGAAATTTATATAGCTCCAGTCTTGATTCAAAAGTTGCTCTTTAAGTAAATTTAGGTTAGTGTTGTTGTAAACACGTTTTTTAATTGTTACCTTTCCATGCATACTTGGTTTGCTGTTTGCGCTTATGCAGAATAAAAATAGTAAAATGGTAAAACATCGGTTTTTAAAATGCCTTTTTTAAGCGTTGTATTAAAAATGTAATTGGTTAAAATGTTGTCAATTAAAGAGGACGAATGATTTGTTATTCTAGTAGGTTTATCAATAATGGGTATTGTTCCTGTTTGGAATAAATAATTATAAAAATTTGTTATATTTTGTTTTTTATTATAATGGAAACAGTCTAAATTGAAATCGCCAAGTATGTAATTTTTTTTCTTTTCTTGGTTAGTTTTTTCTATTAAATTACTTATTAGATATTTGCTTACGTACTCAGTTCTTCCAGTCGGGGGCCGATAGCAGCAGCTTATTAAAATATTTTTTGAATTGTTTGTTTATTATTTCAACCATTAAAATCTCGATATTTTCATCAGAACACTCTTCTCGCGTCTAATATTATACACAATGTTTTCTTTTATGTAAAAAAGTACTCCTCCTCCACGCTTATTAACATTACGCTCTAAAAACACCAAGTTTCAGAAAAGAAAATATATACACCAAGTTTCAGAAAAAAAAAAATTCTGATTCGCAAATCATATTAAAAAAGTTGTCAAAATTTTTTTTTAAACTTCTCATATTAATGTGGGTTACATTAAAACAATCACGATTATCATCACTTTTTATTTTTTAAAATGCTTTTAATTTTATCTGGATAAAAGTAAGAGCATTCAAATTCAGGTCCATTAATCTCATTAAAATAATTAATATCTGGATCCAGGGGCGAATCTAGCTTTTTTTTTGAGAGGTGCTGGCAAATATGTGTTGTGCTGCGACGATGAAGGGGTGTTTTCATTACCCCCCCCCCCCCCCGTGCTTTGCGTTGCATGAAAGGGGTTGGTTGTAAAAAAGGTTTTTATAAAGTACGGGGAGGGGAATTTTTTTCCGACCTCCCGGAGCTTATTAGGATCCCAATCCCCCCTCCTCCCCCTTGATTATTAATTTGAAACAATATAAAATATTTTTGCTATTTTTTTACTTTGAGAAAAATATTTCTCTCAATAATAGATGAAAATATGAATAACCAACCAAAAAAACTGTTTTAAGCTTTTTAAAATTCCGACCCTTCGGTTTATTAAGAAACCCCCTCTCCCCCGTTTATTATAATTTAGAAAAATTTCCGACCCTCCTATTTGTTAGAGTACAGTGCGAAAGTAATTTTGTGTACATAAAAATATTTTGTATGCAAGGTAATGCAGCAACTATATATTGGCAGTGATCGACCGTTATATAAAGAATAAATCAATAATGATACAATAATTTCATGACCCCAAACAATGAACACACAATTTGTTTATTATTCGTATGACATTTAACATAAACTAGGAATAGCATAAGAATTGAACAGTAAAACCCAGTTTTGAAATGTTAAAAGTAAACAAATTTCTTACCCTAACTGTGCTAAATTTCTTTTTCTAAACTGTTAGCTTATGACCAATAAAGTAAATTTCAAACCATGAAACTTTACTAAATTAAAACCATATTTCAACAGTAGGAAAACTAAAATAAAATAGTAAAATAGTTACAAAATGAAGAACTGATAAAAAAAACTGTTAATAAAAATCTAGTTTCAATGGAACTCAAAATTTGCTTCTAATATGATCTTTAAACAGAAACTTGAAAATAAAACAAGTAACCATCTAGTTTAACTTCTAAAAACACCTGTGTCATGCACATTATATTGCAATTATAACATAATTGTATTAAAACTCACTATTAAAAATAATTAATACTATGATACATAAAATATATAATTATACACGATAATTATTTATAAATTATAACAAAAATAATAAAAATAATAATAAACTCTTACACTAAATACATCAATAATAGTGAATAGATTTAATAACATTATATAACACTGTTTATAAACAAAATTATGTAACAGTAATAAAATAAATATTCTGAGTTTCATGATATTCTGGAGCCATTTATTTTCCAAGGATATTCCCCAAAAATATAAGTATAAATGTAAGAACAGACTTATTTTTAAATCCAGTTATAATTTAACTTTAATTATAATAAAACTATAATTATAACTATCAATAATGTTAATTTATTAATAATGAAAACTTTATAATTATGTCTGATAACTCAAACTTTTACTAAGTCAGCTTTTCAATTCCTATTGAGCTTTCTATACATAACGAGAGCTTCCCCTAACTCTGACATTCGCCAAGTCTGATTATTTATCTATTTCCCTTGAGAATCAGACTTAACAAGATTCTACTGTATATATTTTTTGAAGTATAATTTCATGCTTAAAAAATACAAAAAAAACTTTCTAGAACTTTCAGAATTTTCTAGGACCACTATTTAAATTACTCAATAAAATATATAAAACAGTAAATAATATATTTATATTATATTATTAAATAAAACAGTTTAAACTGGATCAGAATTTAAAATATCTACAAGTTTCATTCTACGAAGATTTTTCCTAGCAAAACAATCAATCACTTCATTTACATCGATGCTGATATCTTGGTGAACGTGCATTAAAGCAAAACTATTAAATCTATTCTGTGACGTTGTGTTACGTAGATAGGTTTTTAAACAACGAATAACAGAGATTGATCTTTCGCAAGTGCATGTTGTTACTGGAATAGTTGCAAGAGTTTGAATTAAGGTAAATATATTAGGAAAAGTTATTCAATAAGAGGAAGGAGTTATTCAATAAGAGGAAGGAGTTTGGTCAGAGTAGTAGAAAGGGAATTTTTAAAGCTACGCCAATAATCTTCCCACATGTTCAATTCGGTCATGATATACCGTGGTTCCGGAAGTTCATCCTCATACTCATTTGAAAAAAGAAGAAAGTTGCTTCTCCATTCAGCAACATTTAAAACGTTAGTTGGCATTGCAAAGAATCCATTATAAACACAATGTTTTTATTAGAAAAACGTAATTGAATCTGGGATTATAAATGGTCAAGAAAAGGAATTTTAATGACTTTCTTGTAATACTCATTAATAGATTCACTAGGACAATTATTTCGATTAAGCTGTTTTTCTATTGTACGAGGCTTGTGCTCATAAACACCAACACTAGCTGCCAATACAACTGCCTCACTATACCAAGCACCATGACTGTGTTCAATGTCTGATCTTAGTCGCTGTAAAGCAAGATGTAACAAATTTATTTTTTCATGCGATGCATAAACATCAAAGTTTGGAGATTGAAATTGTTTTGTAATTGGTCTTGTTACTTCGAGACACCACTACTAAAGTAACAAGAAACTGAAAAGATCTAGTAGCAAAGAAATAACTATTTGCATCACGCACTGAGTCATGATTCCAAGACTTTTCATCGTTATTAATCATTAGCTCAAAGCATTTAATTATAGCAGGAAGTACCTCTATAAACACATCTAACCCATCAATTCTGGCAATCCATCTTGTACGACATACATCTATTAAACGAGAGTGATGAGCTTTTGGAAACATTTCTTCAATTTTTTTTTTCAGAACATCAAAACGCTTTGGACTAAAATTAAAGAACTGAGATATAACACGAACATTTGACATCATATTGCTAACTATCTGTATGTTACAGGCATTTGCAACACAAAGATTGAGGACATGAGATCCACAATGAAGATATAATGCTTTTGGATAAATAGCTTTTACTCTTACTGCAGCACCGGAACAGTTCCCAGCCATGTTACCAGCACCGTCAGAACCTTGACCAACACAAAATTTCATTTCTAATCCCAAATCTTTAATACTATTCAAAATTTGGCTGCCTATAGCTTCTCCAGACAAGCCTGAGTCGCAAGGAATATAACCAAAAAATAGTTCACAAATTTCACAATTATCATTTACAAAGCGTAATACAAGTGGCATTTGTTCCATATTGCTCACATCAGATGCTTCATCTGCTAATATTGAAAAAAATTTAGCCTTTTTAACTTCACATTTCAATTTAGAAATTATTATGTCATTACAAATATTAATCAACTCATTTTGAGTAGTTTTAGAGCGATATGTAGCATTTTTTGGAGTAGAAATTCGCCCATTCACCAAACTGTTTTCTGCACAATCAGATATTAATTTCAAAATTGATTGAAGATTGCCAGAGTTACTATTTTCATTCTCATAGTAAAATGAATCAGCTCTGTGACCTCGGAGAGGTATGTTTTGTTTTCCACACATAACAATTGCCAGAACTATTGGTTTTAATATTTCTCTATTTTTCTTGACTTGTTTATCAATTACTTTGTTGAGATTTAAGTCAATAAAATTTATCTTTTGCTCCATACATTAGCGAAAATGAATTGCCTTTAGAGTTGCAGTTTGGTGAATTGGTGAACTTTCAGCATGTTTATTAAACTTATTAACGGCCTTTGAATATGCCACAAATGGAGATTTATAAAGCTGAACAAGTTTACTTGCATTATGACTTGATTCTTTAGATCCAAAAATAACACAATTAACACAATAAGCACCTTTTTTAATTTCTAAATATGCAAGCCAAGAGTATAATGAGAGCCAAGAGAATTGAAAGGAACGACCTGATTTATTGGATTCAAAATGAAAACTAGAGCTTGGTTTATAAACATTTTTTAGTAAATCATACTTATCTTCATTGCCTAGTTTATTAATTCCATAAGTTTCATAGAGCCCGATATCGTATTTGTTTACAAAAGATAGTTCACATTTATTTCCAAAAGCAGAAGAACTACTTTTAGAGTTTAAATTTGCCTTAATCGGTGAGTGTATATATTTTGAAGAACATTCTGCAATCGATAATGTGGTAGAACTTTTTAATTTGATTGGCGAAGATACAACACAAATTTTTTTGTCTGTAGGAAAAGGTGAATTAATAGCAAATTGATCAATTGTGAGTTGTTTTCTTTTTTTAAAAGTTGAAAGAATTTTAACTGAATCTAAAATATCTGTTTCCTGAGTAGAATCAGGAAACAGGATACTAGATTTCGAAGAAGTAAGTTGATTAATTTCAGGTAATTTTACTACTTTAGGTGCAAATATATTAGGAGCTTGGTATTTTTTAGGAATACATTTTAAAGATATTAAAGGAACAAAGTGATCTTTGTTTATAAATATATTAGAGGTCTGTTTAAAACCTGCAATAACTGAAGAGCAACGAAGAATGTGTATTTTTTTTACAGATGTGCTTAAAGAATGTTCAACACGTGGTCTAACAGTGCAATTGAACAATATTTCATAAACAGTTTTTTCTATTTCTTTTCTATCCTTTTCTATAGGATAATATGATTCAATTGGTATTCCAACAACACTTGAGAGAGCACACAAAGTAAGAAACGAGGAATAAGAAAAATTTGTTGCAATATTGATAGATTCTGATATGACACTGAGTGTTTTATTATTTTTACAAAAAGAATTATATGCTTTTTGGGAAATAATAATAGAAAAAGCTGTGTTTTCATCAATTCTTCGAGATTTGGTAACATCAGTTTGAGAAAAAACAATTGGATGGTTTAAATAAAAACCTACATTTGTATATAATTCGATACTGGTCAGGCATCTAAGGTATTCTGACAAAGATTCGTTGCCAATCAATGATATAGAACAAGCATTAAATTAACAGTTTCCGTTTGGAAAAGTTCTAATAATAAAAAAAAAAATTAATATAAGCGAAGCAACATAATTTATGTTATGTTACAAAATAATTATTACATAATTTTATATCATAAAATTACTTACTAGTAAATGATTTACTAAATGTAAATTTGGTATTATTCAAACATAAATAAAAATTATAACATAATTGATTATTTTCTCCTTGAAATATGATATTATATGAAATATGATATTATATACTTTTTTGTAAACTTTTTTTTTTAGTAAAGTTGTGTTCATGCTTAAGTATATATACTTAAGGATGAACACAATTTTACTTAAAAAAAAGTTTTTTAAATTTAAGCACTTACAACAAAATTTTACACATCTTTCAGCTTAAATAAAAAAGTTTGTAGTAAAATATTAGGCACAAAAAGCTATAGTATAGCTTTTTGTATATCCTATAGTATAGGCTAAACAAAATGTGTGTGTGTGTAGGCTATACAAAATATGTGTGTGTGTTGTGTTAATTAATGGTTAAAATAATAGCAAATTAAGAAATCATTTAAAGCCGGTTATATATGATTTCTTAATTTGCTATTATTTTAATCATTAATCAACACAACACACACATACATAAACACTTCGTTTGTTTTTTGTTTTTTTAATTTAATATAATTATTTAAGAAACAACTTATTACCTCACTGGTTGAAAATCACTTTCTGCTCGAAATGATTGAGATACGGGAAACTGCATACTTGAAACTTTGCATATTTTATTCAATATACTTACTTTAGATTTTTCATTAAACAAAAAAATTTCTCTAATCTTATTATGAGCTTCGACAATAACATTAGATAAAAACGATTCCTTTTCTGATTGAACCCTATTTTCATCTAAAATACATTTTAAAATAATTCGAAGCATTGAATTCGCCATGTTTAGAACACTTAACCTACGAGTTAACAAAATGCTTAGTGAAAAACCTTTTTTCTGATTTTTGCGTGATTGGCTTGCACCCTTCAGAGATCTTTCTGATTGGGTCAGCACCCCTCAGAACCTGTTTTGATTAGCTTAAGAAACCAAGCCAATCAAAAATAGCTTCTGAGGGGTGCAGGCCAATCAAAAATAATTCTGAGGGGAGCAGGCCAATCAAAAAGCGACTATACTGTTTCCTAGTTTCCTAGTCGAAGCATAAGTATACACAAAATACGCAAGCGCTGAACGCAAAGTATTACACAACAACAAAGATAATTATTTATTTATTTTTGACTTCCTTCACAAAAAATGAAATCGCAAATTTTTAAGTTTAATAAACTATTTTAACAATTCAATTTTTATTTATAAAAAAAATGCAACGAAATAGGAAACTTTACTTGTTAAAAGTTGACGGGTGCTGGAGCACCCTTTAAACCCCTCTGGATCCGCCCCTGGGATCAGATTCAATTTCTAAATTAAAAGTATTAGTGTGAAATAAATTTGATACTTTTTCAAAAGCATTTCTATAAGATGAATCCAATTTTCAATGTTTTTGTGATTTTGAATATATTTGGAGGTTTTTATATAAATATGTATAAATGTACACACACATACACACACTACATACACAAACAAATATATACATATATATATATTAAAACTTTGTCGATCTTTGTAATCAAGAAACTTTACAACTATCGTTCTCCTTTTTCTTCTTATACCGTCGTTGTCTTCTTTCTTCCCTGTTCGATGTGCGCGTTCTATATGTATTTCTTCGTTTATATTTAAGTTTTCTTTAACAAAATTTTTCCCTTTCTCCTCGCTGCCTTTCCATGTTTCCCCTTCCGTTTCCTCGATTCCTTCAAATCTAAGATTGTTACGCCGACTCCTATCCTCTAACTTAGCCATCTTGTCTTTAAGATACTCATTTTCAAGATTTATTGCTTTCTGTTTAATACTGTCTTAAGAAGATGTTTTCATTTTACTATTATTTAATGCTTCTTTTAATGTTTCGTATTTTTCGCTTAAGAATTCAATTGTAGAATTGGATTGATCTAATTCTTTTTTTAACTGTTTGTTTTCGTTTTTAATGATTAAAAAGTCATTTTCTAACTTTTGAAAGCGTTCGTTGAATATTTTGAGCATGGTATTTTCGTGAATATCAAGCAGTTCCTTTACTTGAGCTGGAGTAAAATTTTTTGCCATTTTGTTTAAGCAAGTAATGGTATGATTAATGTGATAATACTGGATTTCGAAAATTAAAGATAATCTGAAAACGTGCTGTTCTGAAAATCTTATATTCTTATGAAGTATTTCTTATGAAAGAAAAACTAACAAAAGAGGAGGTGGAATAATAACCTACATCCATAATGACTTAAACACAAAAATTAGAGATGATCTTTCTATTTCTGATTCAAATAGTGAGGTCTTTACAGTTGAAGTCATTAATGATACTACAAAAAATCTCTTAATATCCTCTTGATATAGACCGCCCGATGGAGATATTATAATGTTTTTAAATTTTATGAAACAAATATAAACAAAAAGCAATATTGAACAAAAAAAGCTATTCTGTATTGGTGACATGAACATAAACTACCTAAGCTATCATGAAAACGCTAATACCGAAATTTTTTTTTGATGATATGATACAACATTACATTCTAATTATAAACCCACCCGGGTAACTCCCACCTCAATTACTGCTATTGACAATATATTGACAAATTCAATTCAAGATCCATCCTTAAAAGTAGGAATAATTAAAACGGATATATCTGACCACTTCACAATCTACTTCTCACTATCACAACAAGCAACACGTGTCAATAACTTGAAAATAAAAATCATCAAAAGAAGCATAAATAAATTTTCGAACCAAAAACTAAAAGAATCACTAGCGGTAGTAAATTAGTCAAAAATCATGAATGTAACCTCGGACGCACAAATTTAATGAATGTAACTTCGGACGCACAAATGTAATGAATGTAACCTCGGACGCATATATTCCGCTTACGTTAAGTTTATAAATATTTTCCTAAATCTCTACAATAAACATTTTCCAAAGGTCGAAAAAGAAATTAAAGCAAAATACCTAACCACTCCATGGATTACCAAAAGAATAAGAAAATCGTCAAAGCAAAACAAAAACTCTTCATAAAATATCTAAAAATTAGAAACGATATTAATTTGTCTAAGTATAAACAATATAAAAATCTTTTTGAAAAAATAAAATTAAAATCCAAAAAACTATATTTTTCAAAACAAATACAAAAATTTAAAGGAAATAATAAAAAAATCTGGGATATATTAAAAGAAATAATTGGTAAAGATAAAAAAAACTTGAACCAACTACCTTTAAAAGTTCTCATAAATGAAAAAGAGTATAATAATAAAAAAATTATCTCTCAAAAATATAACAAATACTTTGCAAGTATAGGTTCCAAACTCGCCTCTAAAATTCAATCTACAAACAATTCATTTAAGAATTACATCGAGGACTCTCGTTGCTCCCTAGTTTATAAAGAACTAGAATACGAAGAACTTGAAACAGCAATTAAAACATTAAAAATTAACAAAGGTCCTGGTATCGACAAAATCCTAGCCAATATAATTTTGAATGTCTTCCCAGAAAAAAGTAAACCCATTTTTCAAATATTTTACTCTTCAATAATTACAGGAATTGTTCCCGACTATTTAAAAATAGCTAAAATTATTCCTATCTATAAATCCAGAG